ATAGTTTCTGTTGAAAAATCAGCTAATCGTATGGGTGCTCCCTTGTAGGTAACTTTTTCTCTTGCTGCTTATAAGATTCTCTCTTTGTCTTTTGCTCTCAGCATTTTAATTATGTGTCTTGGTGAGGTCCTCTTTGGATTCCTTTTGTTTGGGGTTCTCTGAACTTCCTGAATTTGTAAGTCTATTTCTTTCACCAAGTGGGGGAAGTTTTCAGTCATTATTTTTTCAAATAGGTTTTCAGTATCTTGCTCTCTTCTTCTGGCACCACCATAATTCTGATGTTGGTAAGTTTGAAGTTGTCCCAGAGGCTTCTTACATTATCTTCAACTTTCTGGATTCTCTTCTCTTCTTGCTTCTCCGGAGGAGTGTCCTTTGCCTCTTTGTATCCCAAATCTTTGACTTGATTCTTGCGTTCTTCTAGTCTGCTGTTGGGTCTCTGTATAATATTTTTTATTTGTCAGTGTATGTTTAATTTCTAGTTGATCCTTTTTCATATCCTCGAGGGTCTAGTAAAATTTATTGGCCTTTTCTAGGAATTTCTTGAAAAACATTATAATTGCCAAAGCCGGTTTGGCTCAGTGGTAGAGTGTCGGTCGGTCTGCAGACTGAAAGGTCCCAGGTTCAATTCTGGGCAAGGGCATGTGCCTTGGTTTCGGGCACATCCCCAGTAGGGGGTGTGCAAGAGGCAGTTGGTCGATGTTTTTCTCTCATTGATGTTTCTACTTCTCTATCCCTCTCTCCTTCTCTCTGTAAAAAATCAATAAAATATATTTTAAAAAAAAAAGAAAAAAATTATAATCAGGGTCTTGAACTCTATGTCCAGTCGTTTGTTCTCCTTCATTTCTTTAGTTTGTGATCTGTTTCTTTGTCTCCTTATTTTCGCTGCTTCCCTGAGTTGGTAGGGTAGCTTTGTGTGCTGGGTGCCCTATGTGGTTCAATGGGTCAGCCTCCCAGTTACCTGATGTGGACAATCTTGGTGCACCCCTTTGTGGGCTGTGTGTACAGCCTTGTTGTAGTTAAGTATTGATTGTTGTTGGTGTCACTGGGAGAAATTGACTTCCAGGCCAATTGGCTGTGAGGACCTGATATGTCTATAATGGAAGAATTGCTGTGCTGGAGACACATTTATGGGGCAGGACTTTTTCCAGTAGGGCTTTGTTGCCGAGTCTGCCTCTTGAATGTGTCCCTTATGAGAGTAGTTGAAACCTGATGCTGTCTCACACTGACCACTAGATACACTAGTTTATGGATCTCCAATGAGGTGCAGGTCAGCTTCTGTCTGAGGCCACCCAGCAGGAGCTATAGCAAAGAACTACAGTTTTCTCCTCTTTACTTGGGATTTGGCGGTTTTGGAGTAGTCTGACTGGAGCTGCAATTTATTTCATTCAGATGCCATAGCCATAGGGCAGGCCATTTATATGCAAAAGCCGCTGTGTGGAGCCTGAGAGGGTTTATAGAATGTGTGGGGCGGGGTCTTTGGGCATCACTAGACTGGGGTGTGGCAAACAGCAATGGCTGCCACCTAGTCTTCTCTGCCTTTCTGAGATTCCAAGTCCCGCATCCTGTGCTCCAGTGCAGTAAACGACGATTGCTGCTTGCACCTCTGCAAAAAATCACCCTCACTTTCCGACCCGAGGGCAGACAGACCAGCTTCTCCCCATAGGTGATTGGGTTCCCAGAAACTGGATTTCAAAGTGACCGGGAGTTTGTTTATTTTCAGGTTGAAAAAAAGCCACACGCCCAGTCGGCCGCCACCAGCCGGATTTGTGTGCCTCAGTACCTCAGCTTTTCAGCATTTGTGCTCCTTTCTCCTTCTTTCTACCATGTTTCCCCAAAAATAAGACATCCTCCGAAAATAAGACCTACAGGTTTCCTTCTGAGTGAAATATAAGGCATCCCCCAGAAAATAAGGCCCCCCTTGGCTAAACATGAGAGATTTGGTCCACTGATTCTGAAAGAAATGGAGTCACAAGAAATTCAGGAATTGGATTGTTATGATGATGTTCCAGAAGATGATGACATGATTGTCATTGAATAAATGAGTAAATTCTTGATACTGTAGGATTCACAGTTTGTCTGGTTTGTGTTGACAACTACCATACTACCGTACCGTATACAGGTAATAAATTTCCTTTATTTTCATTTAACAATAAATGTGTACCGTACTTTTTTTTTAAAATATATTTTATTGATTTTTGTTCAGAGAGGAAGGGAGAGAGAGAGTTAGAAACATCCATGAGAGAGAGTCATCGATCAGCTGCCTCTTGCACACCCCCTACTGGGGATATGCCCGCAACCAAGGTGCATGCCGTTGACCGGAATTGAACCTGGGACCCTTCAGTCCCAAAGCTGACGCTTTATCCATTGAGCCAAACCGGTCCCGGCAATAAGTGTGTACCGTATTCTTCATGGAAAAATAAGACATCCCCTGAAAATAAGACCTAGAGCATCTTTGGGAGCAAAAAGCAGTATAAGACACTGTCTTATTTCGGGGAAACAGGGTAGTTGTGAGACTTCCATTCAGCCAGCTTTCCCAAGGTTCTGGTTGATAGACTTTTGTCTTTTAGTTGTAGTTTTGAAATTGTTGTGCAAGGCGGCAGTTTAGTTGTTTACCTTTGCCATCTTGGTTTCTCTATAAAAGCTTAAAAGTCTTCAAGGTGCAGCTAATGGCTGGGTGCCTCCCCCTCCCCCTGCTGTGGCTCTGCCACACTCCCGTCCATTATGGAATACTATCTTTGGCTGTCACCATACTCCCATATGAAAAATAAAGAAATCACACTAGTAAGTATATAGTCACCTTTATTTTAATTCACAAATACAAAAAGGATTTTAAAAACGACTTGCACTGAAACCGGTTTGGCTCCGTGGATAGAGCGTCAACCTGCAGACTGAAGGGTCCTGGGTTCGATTCCGGTCAAGGACATATACCTTGGTTGCGGGCACATCCCCAGTAGGGGGTGTGCAAGAGGCAGCTGATCGATGATTCTCTCTCATTGAAGTTCTAGCTCTTTATCCCTCTCTCTTCCTCTCTGTAAAAAATCAATTAAATATATTTAAAAAATAAATAAATAAAATAATAAAAGAAAATAAAAAAAATAAATAAAAAAGACTTGCATGGGCTTCTGCTTTCTGTTTATTCAGCTATGCAGTTAGAAAACCAACTTTGAGGATAAAAAAAGTATCATCTTAGTTTCAATTTTTGGCATCACACATTCTGAAAAGTTTTCTGGGCCTTTTAGGTCCAAGGACCAATACTGTCTTAATAAAGCCGCCCGGCCCTAGCCAGTGTGGCTGTGAGGAGAGCACAGGCATGCAAACTGAAGGGTCTCATGTTCCATTCTGGTCAATGGCATGTACCTCAGTTGGCAACCAATAGATGTGTTTCACATGGATGTTTGTCTTCCCCTCTCACACTCTCTCTAAAAACCAGTGGGAGCCGAAACCGGTTTGGCTCAGTGAATGGAGCATTGGCCTGCGGACTGAAAAGTCCCGGGTTCGATTCCAGTCAAGGGCATGTGCCTTGGTTGCGGGCACATCCCTGGTGGGGAGTGTGAAGGAGGCAGCTGATCGATGTTTCTCTCTCATCGATGTTTCTAACTCGCTATTCCTCTCTCTTCCTCCCTGTAGAAAATCAGTAATATATATAAAAGTGGGAAAATATCCTGGGGGGAGGATAAAAAAACAAACAAAAAAACTGCCCACACTCAGTGCTTCTGTAATTACTTATAAATTTCAATGGGCCATGTGGCCCATGGAACATTCTATTAGTCTACCAGTTAATACAGATCTGAGAATGACAGAATTTGCATTTCTTTTTCCTTTTTCTCCAAAGGGAAGCTACTTATCTTCCAAACACAGCCATCACTTTAGAGGAACCCAAAAAGCATTGTTAACTGCTAAAAAGGTGAAGTGCCTCTTCTTTCCTAAATGAAAACGGAAAAAATGATTAGAATCACAGATTCTTAAATTCAAATATTCCTCATTTTAGCGTACTAGGTGTTTCCTGCATGGTTTGCCTCCTCAGTCATCGTCCACAGGACTCTGAGAAGTTGTAGGAATATGCAGGCGCAGACTCAAGGCCCGGCTTTCTCTCCAACGTTGTGGAAAGGGACTGTACATCATGGGGCAGAGCCCTACGCTCCCCTAGGCCATCTGGACAGAGCCTGGGAGAGTGACCTCCCGGGTTATCCACGTTGGGAGTGTCTGATTAATCAATCACAACAGTACAGTTAAACAGCATTACCTCTCAAGACCTTAGAGATTTCTCTTTATTACATACCAGAGGCCTGACGCACAAAATTCGTGCAAGGGTAGGCCTTCCTCCCTCCTGGCTGCCCTCGCTTCAGCATATTACACTTTTATTATTACAGATCACACTACATGTAGTTGTTGATTTAGTAACTGTTTTTTAAAAAAATATATATTTTATTGATTTTTTACAGAGAAGAAGGGAGAGAGATAGAGAGCTAGAAACGTCACTGAGAGAGAAACATCGACCAGTTGCCTCTTGCACACCCCCTACAGGGGATGTGCCCACAACCAATGTACATGCCCTTGACCGGAATCGAACCTGGGACCTTTCAGTCCGCAGACCGACGCTCTACCACTAGCCAAACCGGTTTCGGCTAGTAACTGGTTTTAATCAATTTCAAACAAGTCATTACTATGCACTATTTCATGATTTACTTCATAAGTTACTTCTTGTTGAAGGCGAATGCAGACAAATATGCCCAGCTTCAACTCCAGTATCATGAAAAGGGATTGCACGAGACCAAACCCCATCTCCTATGGATGGCTTTAAAGGGCAAAACGGATAAGCCAAAAGCAATTCAGATTTACTTACCCAAATCAAGTTACTTAGAATCTTGACTGAAGGCTGGTAAAAACAAGGTGAAGAGCTTAACCCAGCAGTACAGTAAAACTGAGTAAAGCCAAAAATTCACTTCTGATCAACCTATATCCAGACAGGAAGCTCTAGACTAGCAATTGCCAACCTTTTCCACTTCATGCTGCACACAAATGAATTACTAAAACTGCAGCACACAAAAAAACGTATTTCCCTGACCTGCCAAAACAGGTAGAATTTTTCAATACAAGTTTTTATTGATTTCAGAGAAGAAATAGAAACATCAATTATATAATGACATAAATTTCATTGGCCACATGGCCCATTAAAACATCAAGATAGAATTATGGATGGGCTGCCTCCTGCACTCCCCCCAATCGGCCATGTGCCCTGACCTCCTGGTTCATAGGTCAATGCTCAACCACTGATCCAGGCCAGGCCAAAGGTAGAATTTTAATTGATTCACACCAGTTACTGTGTTGGCTGTCAATTTTAAATTTGACAATCCAAGGAAAAGAGGTCAGTGCCCAAGTAAATCAGCAGATACTGCAAGTTTTCAATTTCTTGCAGCACATCGGTTGAAAATCGCCGTTTCCTGCATGGTTTGTCTCCTTAGTCATTGTCCACAGGACTCTGAGAAGTTGTAGGAATATGCAGGCAGACTCAAGGTCCAGCTGTTATGCCCAGATTTCAAGATCCCAAAGATCACCAGGGAGCTGAGTCCGATGCAAAAACAAAGAGCCTTTATTCAAGCTTGAGCCCGGTCTCTCCGCCTCTACCGACGCAGCGGCAGGATGCAAAGAGCCCGAGATCCCGAAGGACAGAAATTTTATAGGGCTTGGCGTCGGGTGGTGGGGTGATGCTAGGGCCATGACTTGGCTGATTCCGATTGGTTGGGTGAGGGCTAGGGTCCAGTTACGCAGGTGACAGGACGCGGTTAGCATACTTTGGACTTTGGTTATTTCCCCTTGCATTCCTGTTGGCCGATTTAAGGGTGGGTTGGGTAACTGACACATTCTGTGGTTTTTCTTGGAAAGGGGTCATGTCGGGGACATAGTTACACAAGATGGAGAACACAATACAAAATGGAGTCAGTCCTGCTCTGCCCTTTCATTCCCCCCCTTGTCTTGAAACTTACGGGCCCAATCATGGGACGGACTGCATTTCTACCTCCCCTTCCGCTCCCAGAGGCCTATACTGGGAGTACAGAACCATCATCTGAACTGCCCCTATGCGCTCTTTGTCAAAATGGACTAGCCTGTCGATAATTCAAGGGCCAAAGGACAACAGCATTAGTAGGATTATGAGGGGTCCGGGAGGGCGGAAATAAGAGTGGTTAACCACGGGGACCAGTTAAATAAAGATTCATACCAACACTGAGGCTGCTCCCTCTCTTATGAGGGCCGTGGATTCCTTAACAACTCCGAATGGTCCACATGAAAACAGCACTCCTCCCTGGGGCTGTGCACAGGCCTCCTTGGTGCATGAACAGGAAGTCTGATCCTCGTCTGTTCTGGAGCACTACTTCGGAGAAGGAAGGAAGGGATTCTTGCAGATGGGTAATGGATTTCTCAATTCCTTCTATGTCTAGGTCAGTGGCTGCTCTTAGGATTCCATAGTTCTCGCCTTGTATGACAAGCGAGGATATCCTGTTCCTGCCCCTGCTAGTCCCAGCCCTAAGAGCGCAGCCAGAGTTAGGGCTGTAACAGGTTCTCTCCTACTTTGGGGGTTTAGCAGAACCTAATCTGCTAAGTATTTCCTCCCCCGAATGGTACTATACTATACTATCTTGGGGATTAGCTGGCCGAGTATGCAAAAGCCTTCTTTTGAGGAGTTGAGGATTTGGGAGTGGACGCGGGGAGTGAGGCCGCTGGAACAGGCCCACCATGCATTTTTCGGAGGAGAGGGAGAGCAGATAAGCGGTCCCACTAGGGATTGATAGAGTTTCATTACAGAGATGTGATTGCTCATAGGGATACGCTGCCTATGCAAGTACCTTGCCCTATTACCGCCGGGAGGTTAGTCGTGCAGTGGCCTGCTGCCATCGGCAGGAGCTGGAATTGGAGGCCGTTGTATAATTGCCCCTAAGAGCAATACCTTCGTAATATGGTGGCCGGACATCTAGACAGAGCCAACAGGACTCGGTCAGGTCGGGTCGGGAAGTGTTCAAATCATGGTATGCTCCCAGGACCATGCTCCCTAGGGGGTCCGTGTCAGATGTTGAGGTGCGGGGCAGGGAGGGCAGAGGGCAGTGAGGCCGGGGGCGGGGTGCTCCTGGGCGGGGACGCCCGGGTAGGGGCAGGTCGGGGGCCCAGCACTTGGTCAGGCCCTACCCCTGCCACCGGGTCTGAGAGGGAGGTTCTCAGTAGCCTGACAGTGAACAGCCCTCCGTGATCTCGGTACCCGAACCTGGTCTTATCATAGAAACGAATTCCCCAAGTTTTGCCAGTGTCCCATCCTGCAGCCTCCTTCCCCTGGGCCGTGAAAGATATGCTCACGGGGTTACAGGGACCCTCAAGGCCGCAAGGCGGGGCGGCCGGCCGCTCTACGGCGATCAGATCACCGGTTTTCGGGGGAGTCCACCAGATGTGCCCAGTCGAGACACACGACCAGGAGGCGCAGAAGTAGCTCTCCGCTCCTCCGCATGGGTCCTGGGCGCCTCCCCCCGGGGCCCGCGCGTGCCCGGGGCAAACGTAGAAGTGACGGCTCCGGGCGAACGCAGGGTCGTACTGGACGGGGATGAGGGCCAGCAGGTCCACCCGGAGCTCCGGGAACCAAGCGTCTCCAGGCTGCGACCGGGAGGTCTGACTGAGGACAGCTCCGGAGCTGGGCTCCACGATCTGCCAGGTAAGATTGTACGGGGCGTGGGGACTCCCGGCAGCGTGGGTGGCAGCGAACAGAGTCAACAGAGTTACCAACGCCAGGCGGGTTGGGCGCGCCGTAGCTTGGGCGAGTTGTGCGGATTGTAATCGAGGCTCCATGGTGTGGTGAGGTCCTCCCGGGCTGCAGAGGGGTCTGCTGGGCGGACGTGGGTGTGATGGACCCAGGTGGCGATGCCGTCTACCTTGCGAGCGGTGGGTGTAGTCAGCACCACGACGTAGGGACCCTTCCAACGCAGCTCGGAGGTCTCCTGGCGGTGCCTTTGACAAAACCAGTCTCCCGGTCTGTACTGATGAGGCGGCGGGGTTGGCAGCCTCGCAGATGGCACAGAGGTCCTCGTGTGCCCTCTGGAGCCCTCTTAAGAGAAAAGATAGGTCTTGGCTTTCAAATTCAGCAAGAAGCTCGGCCTGAAGGCTAGGAATGAGAGGGGGTGGCCTGCCAAACATGATCTCACAGCGGGGAAAGCCCAGGGTGTAAGGAGAGTTCCGTACCCGGGAAAGGGCATACGGTAGGAGAGCCACCCAGTCCCCGCCAGTCTCCATGGGTCATTTGGTAAGGGTCTCTTTTAGGGTTCTGTTCATCCTTCCTACCTGCCCTGAGCTTTGGGGCCTGTAGGCACAATGCAATTTCCAGTCTGCCCCGGTAGCCCTGGCTATGCCTGTGTCGCCTGTGAAATAAAAGCTGGCCCATCGTCTGATCCTATCATCGCGGGAAATCCACACCTGGGTAGGACGTCTTCTAGCAGTTTCTTGGCTACCATCTGAGCTGTTTCGTGCTTGGTTGGGTATGCCTCTACCCATCCAGAAAAGGTGTCTATGAATACTAAAAGATATTTATAACCGTACTTCCTGGCTTAACTTTGGTGAAGTCGACTTCCCATTGTGCTCCCAACTTGGTTCCTCGGAGTCTGGTCCCTTTTTCACTCGTCCCAACCCTCGCATTCACAAGTTTGTCTCCTCAGTCATCGTCCACAGGACTCTGAGAAGTTGTAGGAATATGCAGGCGCAGACTCAAGGCCTGGCTTTCTCTCCAACGTTGTGGAAAGGGAGCAGAGCCCTACGCTCCCCTAGGCCACCTGGTCAGAGGCCGGGAGCGTGACCTCCCGGGGTATCCACGTTGGTCACCACACTTAGATTCAGACGACTGTGCTAGCAATCCCAATCCAGCCCACAGCGATTTCCCAGGGATACCCACGTCGGGGTGGAGCCTAAATTCCCCCAAAGTCGTCAAAACTGGAGTTCAAGACTGGCCAGAAGTCTTGTCAGTAACCTAAATTCACTTTCAGCTGGGCACCACACACACATCTAGAAACTACAATCCATTAGCACGCCCCCCAAGAAATGGCAAATACAGAGCCTTGAGACAGCAGTTAATCTTCATATCTTTAAACCGATCATCTTCAAGTTACCCTAACTGTTAAAACAAATTGGCAGCACTAAGAGGCCTCGGTTTTGAAATCAGGACGCAAACGCGGGAGGGGCCCCAGGAATAAAATGTCCTAAGTGCAACCCCACCGACGGCAACGCGACTCCTGGGAGGGAGGGTACTAACTGGGCACCGGGGTGGGTGGCTGCGTTTTCAGCGCCTTGGGGCTCGGGGTGCAGCTGGCGAGAGCGCCTTGGTGACGCCATCACTCGCGGATCCCAGACCGCCCCAGCCCCTCCGCACGAATGAACAAGGGCAGTTCCCACGGGTGCCGCAGAAACCAATCCTTCTAAATAGAAGCATTTCTTTAATTTTTATTTTATTGATTTTTTTACAGAGAGGAAAGGAGAGAAATAGAGTTCCATCAGCTGCCTCCAGCACACTTCCCACTGCAACCGAAGTACATGCCCTTGACCGGAATCGAACTTGGGACCCTTCAGTCTGCAGGCCGACACTCTAACCATTGAGCCAAACCGGTTTCAGCCTAAATACCGTGTTTCCCCGAAAATAAGACATCCTCCGAAAATAAGACCTAGCGCAAGGAAAAAAAAGACATCCCCTGAAAATAAGATCTAGCGCATCTTTGGGAGCAAAAGTTAATATAAGACACTGTCTTATTTTCGGGGAAACGGGGTAGAATCCTTTCTACAGGGAAGCCTGGCTGGCAGGATGGAGCACCAGAGGTGAAGCTGATAAACCCGGAGGATAAAAGTACTTACCAGGCGCCTGCAAGGCTCAGCGACGGTCTCCCCGTAAGAAGCCTGCGGAACACAAGGCATCCAGGTTCATACCGTTTCAAGAGACCGGATATGCCTACTGCGCCTGCGCCACGCCAGGGGCTGTCAGCCTATCGGAAACTCACCAAGTTAAGCCCCACCCCCACCGGGACCAGAGGATTCTCGCGATAGGAGAGCCTTCACGTGCAACTTTGCCGGGGAATGTGAATTACAGAAACTAGGTATGAAGGCGGATACGTTTCTTTTTTTTTTTTTCTTTTCCGTTTTAATTTATTTATTTATTTTTAGAATTTTAAAAGATTATTATTTATTATTTTTTAAAAATTTATTGACTAAGGTATCACATATTTATACGGATGCATTTCTTTTTTTTAATTTTTTTTAAATTGATTTTTGTACAGAGAGGAAGGGAGAGAGATAGAGCTAGAAACATCGATGAGAGAGAGTCATCGATCAGCTGCCTCCTGCACACCCCCCACCGGGGATACCCCCGCAACCAAGGCACATGCCCCCGACCGGAATCGAACCCGGGACTCTTCAGTCCCCAAGCCTACGCTCCATCCATTGAGCCAAACCGATCTTGGCTATACGGATACATTTCTAATAGCAAACGTACAGTTCACGCCGTCTGGGGAATGTGCTGTTAAACTCGTCAAAAATAACTTTGGTGTAATAAACATGCAAAATAGAAAAAGACATCTAGAAATGGGAGGATGAGGACAATTATGTGATACCATAATCAATAAAGAAATTTAAAAAAAGACATCTAGAGAAACGCGGAAAGTCTAAAAAGTGGTTGAATCTGCCCCCTCACAAGTGAAATAGACGTTTGATAAATGCGTCGCTAAAGAAGGCCTGGTTAAAGTTAAAAGCCTCCTGTGCACAACTGCGGGAATATCCTGTTAAACTGTACACTTACAAATGGTTAAAATGGTAACTTTTACGTTAAGTACATTTTAACACATACACTCCCAATATAACGAATTAGGCAAGTAAAGAATTCTGAAGATACATGTTGCTGTATAATGTTACAAATGGGATAGAATTTCTAAGATGATGTTAGGTGAATAATGTTATAGAGCTATCACAGCTGGACTATAACGAATAGAAATATTTGTGGTGTTCCTTCTGTAAGATGTTTGTGCTGAGTGGTTTACATACATTTACTGTCACAGCAATTCTAAGTCATTGGAATTATTACCCAAAATTTAAGATGCAAAACAGGACCAGAGCAGTGGTTCTCAAAGTGTAGTTGGTAGACCCTGGGGTCTCTGAGATTCTTTTGGGGTTCCATGAGGTCAAAACTATTTCATAATAATACTTCCTTTGCCTTTTCATCGTGTTGATGCCGCACTGATGTAAAATGAAATAGTGGGTAAACTTGGCTGGTGTCTCAGCTTTTCAGGGCCTTGTTATCAAACTGTACTGGTTTTTCATCATCAAAGATATACAGTATTTTATTTTTTTTAAATATATATTTAAAATATGTTTTATTGATTTTTTTACAGAAAGGAAAGGAGAGGGATAGTCAGAAACATCGATGAGAGAGAAACATCCATCAGCTGCCTCCTGCACACTCCCACTGGGGATGTGCCTGCAACTAAGATACATGCCCTTGACTGGAATCGAACCTGGGATCATTCAGTTTGCAGGCTGACGCTATATCCACTGAGCCAAACCAGTTAGTGCTTTTTAATATATTTTTATTGATTTCAGGGAGGAAGGGAGAGGGAGACAGAGATAGAAACCTGAGTTGTAGGTAAAGATTTCGAAGTTATTGGAATAACAGTGCTGCCTGAAGTCACCTTGGGAAAGTAGGAAGAGTGATGAGAGGACATGGAAACTCATGATTTAAATGGTGGTCAGGGAAGAACAGGGAAACATGATTGGAGGAGAATCAGGAGACGTGGGTGTCTGAGAAGCCAAGGAAGAAGTTTTGAGGGCAAGAAACATGGTCTAAAATGTTCATGTTGCAGAATAAATACATTAAGAGATGTAAACAGGCTTTTGATGTAGCAATTAAGAAATCACTGGTGACCTCAGGGAAAGTCATTTTTAAAAAAAAATCCTCACCTGATCATATTTTTTTCCATTAATTTTTAGGGAGGGTGGAAGAGAGAGAGAAAGACAGAGATTGGTTGCCTCCTGCATGAGCCCCCACCAGGCCCAGGCCCCGGCCCTGGGAGGAGCCTGCAGCCAAGGTATGTATGTGCCCTTGATAGAAATCGAACCTGGGACCCTTTGGTCTATCCACTGAGCCAAACTGGCTAGGGCAGCCATTTTTATTTTAAATTTAAATTCAGATTTTAATGAGTTGAATGAACATGGCTTTAGAAAGGAAAACGTGCATTTAGATCACAGGTCACAACCAATGTCGAGAAGCCTGCTCAGTTTACTTCCTCCTCTACTTGTTACTCATTTAGCTCAACTGCTTGGACTGTACAGAAATTTCAGTTGTTTAACATTAAAATAGGTTATGTGAAGGAAGTGTAGGAAAAGCAATAGGCTGCATATGATCAAAGGAAGATTTTTTTAGGGTAGGAAGAAGATAAACTTTAAAAATATATATATCTTATTAATTTTTTACAGAGAGGAAAAGAGAGGGATAGAGAGTTAGAAACATCGATGAGAGAGAATCATTGATCAGCTGCCTCCTGCACACCCCCCACTGGGGATGTGCCCGCAACCAAGGTACATGCCCTTGACCGGAATCGAACCTGGGACCCTTCAGTCCGCAGGCCGACGCTCTATCCACTGAGCCAATCAGGTTTTGGCAGAAGATAAACTTTAAACAAATTAATGGATGAATAAAGTGTGGGTGTATCCTCAGTAACAGATGAAGGGAAATTGAGGGCATTTGTTCCTGTCAGATGTTTTTAAAAAATATATATTTTATTGATTTTTTACAGAGAGGAAAAGAGAGGGATAGAGAGCTACAAACAGCAATGAGAGAGAATCATTGATCAGCCTCCTCCTGCATATCCCCCACCGGGGATGCACCCTTAACCAATGCACATGCCCCTGACCGGAATCGAACCTGGGACCCTCAGTCCGCAGGCCAACGCCCTATCCACTGAGCCAAACCGGTTTCGGCCTGTCAGATGTTTTATGAAGGAGTGGTATCCACAAAAGAGACAGATGGAGCAAGTGGTGGATCCAGGTTGCTGGTGGTTCCTGTTTTGCCCTCAGGCCTCCTGGAGCTGGAATTGAAACAGTGGTTGTTGTTTTGGTATCAGGGCTTAGCTTTTTGTTGTTGTACATTCTCATCTTTTATAAGTACACTTTCTATCTCATCCACTTCCACTTAATATCCACTAGACTCCTCCCCTGCTCGCTTTTTAAAAATATATATTTTGATTCCAGAAAGGGAGAGAGAGGGAGGAAGATATAGAAACATCAGTGATGAGAGACAATCATGGATTGGCTGCCTCTTGCACACCCCTTACTGGGGATGGAGCCGGCAACCTGGGCATGTGCCCTTGACTGGAAGCGAACCTGGGACCCTGCAGTTTGCAGGCTTACACTCTATCCACTGAGCCAAACCAGATAGGGTATGGACTTACCCTTTTTGATAGTGGTTTTCCAAACCTCTCACTCTACTACAGTCCTCCCTCTCTGGGGATATAGTAACCTAAATCCATAAGGACCCTAAATTCATTGTTTCAGCCAACACTGGGCAATGTGCACAGGCAACAATGCTTACCCTCAAAAGGGTAATGGCAACGGAGGCCTCTTTGGAGGACTAGAAGGAAAATCTGGGAGCAGGTGGAACCCAATGACATGAGTTCTGACTCATGGTTTCTTTAAATCCTGGGTAAAGGGTGGTGAACTAGCCAAGGCCAGGCTCTGAAGTGACAAGTAGAAGGTGAGTCACTGCTGAGGCCACCATGAATGAAACTGGGCTG